GCTCATACTTGGGGCCTTCAATGTTTCAGTCATTGGGGGGAGGCAAACATTCACCCTGACATGTAGACAAAGAGAAAATCACATTCATTCATTCACATTTACACAATCCTACCCTTACACCCATATGGACATGTATATGTACTCAACGGAAAGTGGAAAGTGGCGATCAAGGCCAGACATTGAGATGAGGATGGCAAAGGAGGCAATAAAAAATTCTCCAAAGCACCCTGCAGCACTGATTCCTTGGGGGCTGCTATATCTCCATAGCAACTGTTAGATGCTACCTGCAGGACAACTTTTTGTTTGACAGTCATGAAAGGACACAGCTATTTATCTACTACCATTGTAGATCTTAGATAATTCTGGACACCACTGTTTGACATTGCTTCTTCCTGATGCATGAAGCTGCTGCAGAGCCCCTTCAAGGCAGCTGCTTCTAGGAGTTCAGTTTCTTTATTATTCAGTTGATCTTTCCCCCCATTTGCTTATAGATTTAAAAACTTTCACTGCTCTCAAGATGCTTATTGTTTAAAACCCTGCTGTGTTTCTACAGTCCTTTTATTCTTTTCTCTAAAAAACGCTGGGTTATATTATCTACTCAAACACTGGATTGTGGAATTCTTCACCTATTCTGAGTGATATTTAGGGTATTTGGGTTATTTTTGTGCAACCCATACACTGGGTCAACTTTTTTTTTTTTAAGTCCATCCCCCCAACATGCACTGTTTGACCCAGCACCTGTTTGTATGTGCTTTTAACTCATCACCTGGACATGCTCCACATGGAAACACACCACGCTCATGTCTGCAGCAGGCTGCAGGGTTTTTATTTATGTGATCCAGCATTTGGGTAGAGGCAATAACAAATGTTTGTTATTGAATATATACAAATTTGCAGTTAATTCAACCCATAATAAAGGTGTAATATAACCCATTGGTTTGGTTTTAATAGAGCAGCTCATCTTGCTGCGTCACATAAACAGCTTGGCCTGTGCTATAATAGCCCCGCTGCTGGGCTGGTTATTTCTGACCCCCTTGTTTTATTGTGTTCTAAAGAGTATTCTGTTTTTTGTGCATAAATATATCTTTTTTAACACGTGGCTCATTTTTTAAGTCACCCCTGCATAGATTTACACTATTTTAAGAATGCTATTTTGAAACTATATTGTCTTTTTCTTATCCTTAAAATATAACCTTACTTTACAGTATCCTTGTCTTATGTTTTGTTCATATATTTTTCTTTTTACCTTTGTGTATACAAGCATTTGCATTTCACTGGGCTACTGGAACAGCAGAATTTTCCCAATGTGGGACAGTAAAGTATACTTGTATTCTGTCCTTTTTGGAGATGTGCACATTTTGCCTTAGACTCCTAAGTCTCTAACAGGAACAGTGTGCTGTGGTTTGTTTTGGCTGCATACATAAATTCCGTATTTGTTTTTGGCATGGTTATTCATGCTATAATATAAATGAGACGTTGGCCAGAATCCTGTGTGAGCAATCTACGGCCCTCAGAGGGACCCACAAAATATGAAACTGTTTCAATCTCAGCACATATCGTTGAGGAAAATCAACAGCACTTCCACACATTAGGTTGAGTGTACCTGGCCTCTAACATAGATAAATAGTCTATTGTTTACGTTCCATCCTGCGGCTCTCAGGTTGACATCAGTCACACCTCTGATTTAGAAGCCGACATAGAAATTGAGATGAAGAACAACTTAAGTCCCCCCCTCAAAAAAAAAACAAAAAAAAAAACGATATGTTTACTTTAATGACCGGAAAAATAAAAAAGATATGGGTTTGACTGAAAGAATTACTGTTCTGGTCAATCCTTTTTGCTTACAGTAAATACCTGGAGATTTATGAAAAACACCAAATGTTGCCTAACCTTGCGCTGCAAGCTGGATTATCTCCAGATCTGAGTTTTCAGTGTCACAACAAATAACATAGAACTCAACTCTGTTCTACACATATCAATGTAGCCACTGCCAGATGGGATTTTGAACTCATTTGGTTCTTATTGGTTTCTGATCTCTATGTGAAATCTTACCCTAATAGTCAACAGATTACAGTTGCTGCCTGGTCTTTTTGCTCCACTCTAAATTTGCGTTGAAGCATCATAAATTTCGGTGGTATGCAATAGTTCGGGCTGGCTAAATCTATGAAGGTAATGTGACTTTCTTGAGAGAGGAAACATAAACATTGAGATATAAAGGGTTTAAAAATAGTAACATTCTTGCAGTACTTGGTAGGAAACTGTAAATGACAGCAGATAGAAGTGTTTTATCAATCAGGACGTGCCTGAAATACCGCACAGGTTAGCAGCTTTGTCAATCCAGTTGGTGAAGGTGATCCGGGGAAATACGATTAACGACAGAGGGTAAAATATCCTGCTTTACAAAACACACGACCTTCGTGCTTATTTGTTTCGATGTCTGCCAGATTTATAGACAGGATCTTTATAACCTCTTCCTTTTTTTCCCTCATTTCCTTGTTGGCCATTTCATCACTACACTGGAGATCAGCAGCTCAAGATGGATTGTTTTAATCTGATGTCTCTGTTTTAGCTGAAAAGCAGAGGTGAACTCAAGAGTTCGTGCCGTTATTCTGCAGATGGTCATCTCAGAGGCAATTTTTCACAATTTTAAAAGATTACTGTAGCTATTTGCTTTAAACCTCTTTTGGTTTAAAATATTTTGTCAGAATTCAACAGACTCTGTTCTGATGAACTACTGCACAGTTTGTTCCCACCCACAGGGTATGTTTATTTACCAAAATCAGAGCCTTGTTTCATGTTTGGTTATAACAGTAGAGCAGCATCATTCGGCCATGTGCCGCTGGATGTTGGCGACCTTGTAGCAAAAAATTGAATGTGAAAAATGTGAACTATGAGCGGTCATATGAGATATGAAGAGATGACCTGGTTAACGGAAGCAGAGTCAGGAGGTCTGTGATTGACTTGTTGCTGTAGTGTGATCCTGTAGGACCAAAGCATGTTAACTCTGATTGAAACAAGCCTGGTTTGCTGATATATATCCCTCTTGACTGTTAGACACTGAAAATGTCCTACTAAACATATTTTTTTTTGTTGCAAAACTAAAAAAATATCAGTAAAGTAATGGAAAATGGTAATCCGTCCATCTAACAATTATATCCATTTGCTGGAGTTTCAGGGAGTTTGGATCATTGGGTGAAAGGTGAGAGCTACATCCTGGAAAACTCACCAGCTCATATCAGGATGACAGTGACAAACAAGATAAACAGCCATGGACACACACACTCATACTAAGGACAGCCTAAAAAAACTGTGAAAAAAAAACTCTACTGTGTGAAGAATAGGTTAAAAGTAACCTTAATTTTTCCATAGTCGGTAAATTCAGCTGTGTCAGCTAAAAAGCAAATAAGCAATTAAAGCATACATGTCTACACAAGACCTAAGAATAAAGAAAAGATCTGCACAACAATCAAGAAATTAAAGTAAGATGTAAAGTGCTTTTGAGACACAAAAACACTGATTTAGAGCTTAATACAAGCACATAGACACCAGTCTTGGATGCTAACCCAGGTCCTTCTTGCCAAAGTGATGGTAAATTGTTGCATTCAAATAGCTGGAGCCAGCCAATTTATCCTGGTTCAGTCTATACAACTTATGAAAACCTTTGCTCCTGCAGACCAATCATTCCAGATCTAATTTACCGTAATTTT